GCCTAAATGCTCGCATGACCTCGTTACTAGGTCATTAGGTGAGCAAGACTATATAATGTAGTAATGAGAAACTACAGTCGCTTTGCTTAAAATAATAATAAAAATAGTATAGTACTTGATATTAAAGTTATTAAATGAGAAACTTATTGCTGATAAATAATAAAACAAACAAAGACTTCAAACCCAAGTTTCTAATTATTTGTTCCCAAAAATTAAAAAAATTACACATTGACGATAGGGATGACAATTTTCCCCACGGGTAAGGATCTTCGCAGTGAATCGACCTTATTGGGTCAAGTATGAAGGATAAAAAGCAAGATTGGGGAATTTTTCGAGTATGGTGTTTGGGGAGGGGCGGGAATGGTTTTTGAATCCCTAACCTAAACCCTACCCATTTAGAAAATATATATATATAATTTATTTTATCATGCAATTATATTATTAAAATATATGATGGTAGTGCCACCTCTATAATGATGATCATTCTTGAACATGTAGTTTTCACATGTATTTTTTTTTTTTTTAAATAGTCTAGATTTTTAGTTAATAAAAATGGAATTGATACATATCTTGTGCTCATAGTGCTTTTTTCTTGTTTAAAAGAGTAGTTTTTTATTTTATTTCCCCGTAATAGGGCTAGTCGGGGAAACCATTCCCTAATGAAAGTAGGGATGGAGAATCCCCAATTTGATTATTACGAGTATGAAGGCAAGGATGGGGGAAAAATGCTTAATGGGGATGAGGATGAGAATGGCATACCCACCCCCAATTCGACCAAATGTTGTTATTTCCACCCCATTCATATCTTCCCACTCATCTTATTTCTTCACTCCTCATTTTAGGCCTTGTTTGGTTCATAGGAAAGGAAACTTGGGGATGAGAAATCAATTGTCTTCTCATGTTTGGTAAGTCCAGATATGGGAAATCATTGTCTGTCCCATGGGAAAGTAGGGGGGAAAAGTGAAGTCATCCTCTAAACTTGGGTTTTGTTTTCCCTCATCATGGAAAAGTTTGGGAAAATAAGCCAATATTAAATAAACATTATTCATGACCATTTTGTCCCCATTAACAATTTAAAATTACAATATACCATTAAATGCATTCTTTTTTATTTGGTTTAATATGGGTATAATTGAAAATTTATACAAACTTTGTTTTCCATTCCTACTCGAAACAAACATGGGAAAGGAAATAAAGTGATATCTCCCGGTTACTTTCCCAGCATTACCAAACGTGGGAAAAGAATATTCCATTTTCCATTCCTTGGGAAATGATATGAGAAATGATTTTCCCTAAAATTCATTCCGTGAACCAAACGGGGTTTTAAGGTTTATTAGTACGCTCATCCTACCCACCATCATTTCAAAAATTTCCCTACCCCTTCCTCCTTCATTTTTCCTTTCCTTTCCTTTATTTTAGTAAAAAATGGTGTGAGAAAGTAGGATTGGGGAGTGTTTACTCACTTGTGATGAGGAAGTCATGAATTAAGAAAATCAGTAATATAGACAGAGAATGAATTGGAATTGGATGAAGTACTCCTTGTATTTAATCTAATAATTCTAAGTTCTTATCGAAATAATATCATCTTTTCGTTTGTTTGTGAAAAACGATGTGAGGAAGTGGGATTGGTGAGCGTTGTAAGTAAATAGGGAAGGCATGAATTAGGAAATCAGTAATATAAACAGAAAATAAATTGGAATTGGATTACCTTCTCTTTCTAATTAATATAATAATTTCAGGTTTCTATCCAAATAAGTAAAACTTGCCATAAAAGTTAAATAACAAAAATGGAAAGTGTGTAAATCCAACCTTTTGACCAAACCGTAGGGCGAGTAAAAACACGTGGCGGACTCCAATTAGTCCTCGAATATAACTTTCCTTTCCCTAGCCGTTTCTTACTCTCCACGGCAAAGCCAAACTCCTACCTAAGCCAGGTGGGATCCATTGAAACGGACGGTCCAGATCAAGCTAAGTGAAAGTGGGCTCTATGTACGACCACACGGATTGGTGTAATGGACCATCACCCATATTTATATAAAATGGACCCCAAAGCCGCAAAATAAGTCAAAGTCGTTTCGTTCTCGTAATCCCAAAAACGCACAAAAAGGCCTAAAAGCTCATAGCCCGAACCCTAATTTCAGGTTTAGGTCCATTAGGGTTTATCGGCCGAAAGCTCAAAACCTTCGAGCTCAAGCCCATCAACTTCGTCTTCTTCGTCCCAATTTTGAATTTCTTTTTTTTTTTCCTGACTCGAAATTAACCAATATTCAAATTTGGAGTTGCAGAGGCGAGTTCTTCATCTTCGGGGCTGCAATTTAGGGTAAGAAATTTTTCCTTTTAATTCTGTCTTCGGTTTTCTGAAATTTTGGATCTTGAACTTGTTGGTTTTCTGTATTCTTTACTCGCAGATTTCTGGTTTTTTTTTTAAAAGGTTCACTCTGATTGTTCAGAATGGTTAAGCTCTCTGGGTTCTGATCAATTTAAAAGAAAAATTAGGGCTTTATGTTGTTCAATTTGTGTGGCGTGAGTAATTGTGTTTATAGGGTTTAAGTTTTAACTTTTGGTTGATGCAGAAACCTAATTACCTTTTACTTGCTTTATTTAGGTTTTTTTATAACTAAAATATGCAAAAACACAGATATAGCTGCAGTCGCGAAACTTCAAAAGTATCCTCGCGTTTTAATTTGTTTTTGGTAGTATTTATGTTCAAGGTACAATTGCTTTTCTGCGTAGGACAGTTTGTACTTTTAGCATAAGGTACAAGTCACGTGCAGCAGGGCTCTGGTCTTTTTTTTTCGGTCGAAGGCTCTCCGTGTCTGTAGTGGGCATTTTCTTTTTCAGGCCCATAATGAAACGCATGTCATGATGTCACGGTGGTAATTTAAAGCCTAAGTTATATAACTACTCGGTCTTGGTTACACTGCCTTAGCCAAAAAAGAAGAAGATTATAGCTCTGTTTTTAGCAGTTTTTAGTTTTAATTTTAATTTTTTTTTCTTCCAGAATTTGCAAGTTTGTATACGTATGTAACTGTGATTCATAATTCCACTGCATACTTAATAACGTCTCGTGGAAATTCATCATTCAATTTAAAAAGTTGTGCTCATGTTTTAGGTGATGTAATGATGGGAAGAATTATATCCCTGTGGTTCATTGTTCTGCTTTTGGTGATGCATTTTGCATCTTTATGTTGAACCTAAGTATCTAATACTAGCCCAATATGCTATTTTTCAGACTTATTTAAATCATCTTTATGTTCATGTAGGTAAATCTTTTGTCAACTAACAGGCTCTGATAAGGACTTTGGTTCCAATTAATGTTAAAATGGATCTGTATTTTCACTTAGTTTTGTGGGTCTGTTAAAAGAATTTCATAGTACTTCCTTTTCTGAATTCTTTTTCTTTGATGCTGAATTTGGCTTGTGTTCCTCTGTTACTGGTAGATCAACCCGGTATTTTCATTTGCTTGTGACATCTGCTTATTCATTCATTATATTCTCAATCCGTTTTAGGACTTCGCCTGCTTACTGGGAGATGGATATTCCTACTACTCCAACTGATAATAATGGGTTACCCAGTTCAGAAACCCAGACAAACAGGCGCAGGAGAAAGAAGTCTATTGTTTGGGAGTACTTCACAATTGAAACTGTTGGGGCTGGAAGTACTAAGGCTTTCTGTAAGCAGTGCAAGAGATCTTTTGCTTACATTACTGGTTCAAAGCTCGCAGGCACAAGCCACCTAAAACGACATATTGCCTTGGGAATCTGCCCAGTAAGTCGTCAGAAAAATCAGATGACTTCTTTTACACCAGGCTCCAAGACTGCTGCTACTGATCCACCAAAACGACGATCCAGAGCAAATTCTGGATATGCGAGAGTCTCTTTTGATCAGGACCGTTGCAATCATGACATTGCTAAGATGATAATTATGCATGGGTATCCACTTCACATTGCTGAACAACTAGGATTCGTCAATTTTGTTCAAACACTTCAACCACAGTTCAATTTGGTAAGCTGGAACACTGTTCAAAATGAATGCGTGGGTATTTACCTTAGAGAAAAACAAAACCTTTTGAATCTTATCAGTGGAATTCCAGGGAAGGTCAGCCTTACAGTGGATTTGTGGACTTCAAATCAGAACCTGGGCTATGTATTCTTAACAGGACACTTTATTGATGATCACTGGAATTTATATCGTCAGATTCTTAATGTCGTTATGGTACCATCTCCAGATTCAGGTGACACTTTTAGTCAAGCTATTTTGACCTGCTTATCCGATTGGCATCTGGAGGGCAGGTTGTTTACCCTCACACTTGACCAATCCCTCTCTAATGAAACCATAATTGGAAATCTTAAAGGACTCCTTTCTGTCAAGAACCCACACATGCTCAACAGTCAGTTATTGCTACGAAATTGCTATGCTCGTGTTTTGAGTAGTCTTGCATGTGATGTACTGGTGGCAATGCGCGAAACAATTGCGAAAGTTCGAGAAAGCGTCAAGTTTGTGAAAACTTCAGAATCCCATGAAGAAAAGTTTGTTCAGCTGAAGCAACAACTTCAAGTTCCTAGCACAAAGAACCTTTCAGTCGATGACCTAACTAAATGGGACACAACTTATCATATGTTGGTGGCAGCTTGTGAATTGAGGGAAGTATTTGCTTGCTTGGATACATATGATCCTGATTACAACATAAATATATTGTCGGAGGAATGGAAGCAGGTAGAGACTCTATGCACATACTTAAAGCTTTTGTTCGATGCAGCCAACATTGTAACTGCCCCAGTGTACCCTTCAGCCAATGTATTCTTTCAGGAAGTATCAAGAATTCAAATGGAACTGATGCATGCAGCCATGAGTGTGGATCCCTTTGTCAGCTACCTGATGAGACCTCTGTATGAAAAGTTTGACAAATATTGGGAAAACTGCTGCCTTGTTTTAGCAGTTGCTGTTATTATGGATCCGAGGTACAAAATGAAAATTGTAGAGCTCGAGTTCAACAGAATGTTCCTTGATTACATGATGCAAATGCTTACTCTACCTGAAACACCAATGGATGAAGGGAATGACAGCATCATCAAAACAGAGGCACCTGAAGAAGCATCTCAGGAGGGGTCTCTGCTGTCTTCTGTGGATGGGCTCCAAGATTTTGAATTGTACATATCTGATATCACAGGTGGCCAGCAAATGAAGTCAGAACTAGATCAGTATCTGGAAGAGGCCTTTACGGATCGAGTGGAAGACTTCGATGTTCTGGTTTGGTGGAGACTGAACAGAATGAAGTACCCAACTCTCTCTAGGATGGCTTCTGATATTTTGTCGATATCGGTGTCTACCGTTGCCTCTGACTCTGTGTTTAACACTGAAATAAAAAGAATGGATAGTTACCGGACTTCATTGGGTCCAGCAACTCTTGAGGCCCTTATCTGCGCCAAAGATTGGCTTAAATATGGATCATTCCCACAACCTCCAGCACTTTAAGTTTCTGATAGTTATGTTCTCAAAATGGAATTTTAGGCATAGGTTTCATTTTGTTCTTTAGGTAGATCATTGGGAGTCTCATTTTGATGGTTTTTAGATGTTAACACAATGCTAGTTAAATTTTGTTTTTCCTCCATCTTAGGATGCTTACAGTTCCAAAATTTTGTGTTAGTATAGCACTTGTTTACATTCTTGGATTAGTAAATCAGCTGCAAGATTAATTGGTCCAGTGCAATCATATTCTTCCATTGATTCTGTTATCTTCCTACAATGTTGATTTTCTTTACTTGCAGCTTTATGTTATGATCATTCATGAGCAGTAAATTTCTTTTTACGTTTTCCTAATACTTTTTGAAGCCATCCAATTCTCCTTGGGATGAAATTGTAGAGTAGAGTTACTGATTCTTTTACCTTAGTAATTCTTGTTAAAAAGATGTTCTTTAAAAATAAATAAAAAATTGAAAGGGACGGTTTTGAAAAGATGTTCTCCCCCATTGTTTTGTTCATGATATATAATGATGCTGTCTTCTTCTTCATATTGGTTTACTTTAAAAAGAAATCACATCTAACAGGATTTGAGCCTACGTCAATTTGTGTGTACATATTTAACTTCATCTCTGGACAGTTCATCATATCAAAGAGAAAAACAACCCATACAACATCTGATGCTTTTCTCTTTGTATGACTTTCTTTCTTGCCCTCAAAGTCAAATCTCACAGGCTCTACTCATCTTTAAGATTTTCAGTTCATCATTCTTTAAAGTACATGAAAATGATCTCTATGGCTTCTGTGACTCGAACCCACTTCCCCACACACACCCACCTTCAGTCTTTTGAAAACCCACCAATTACTCTCTTTGAGAACTGCAAGTCCATGGACCAACTCAAGCAAATCCATGCCCAAACAATGAAAACAGGCCTCACAGCACATCCAGTGGTGCTTAACAGAATTATAGTCTTCTGTTGTACTGATGAGTTTGGCGACATGAAGTATGCCCATCGGGTGTTTGACACAATTCCTGAACCAAGTGTTTTTCTTTGGAATACCATGATGAAAGGCTATAGTAGGATACGTTACCCTGATTATGGGGTTTCTATGTATTTCACAATGCAAAGGTTGAGTGTCAAGCCCGACTGCTATACATTCCCGTTCTTGTTGAAGGGATTTACGCGTGAAATTGCTTTGGAATGTGGCAAAGAGTTTCACGCTTCTGTGTTGAAGTATGGGTTTGATTCTAATGTTTTTGTTCAAAATGCATTGGTGCACATGTATTCTATTTGTGGTTTAATTGATATGGCACGTGGGGTTTTTGATATGATTTGTGAGAAGGAGGTTGCTACTTGGAATGTAATGATTTCTGGGTACAATAGAGTCAAGAAGTATGATGAATCCTGGAAGCTCTTCAATTGCATGCAGAAAGAGGGAGTATTGCCCACTTCAGTTACTCTTGTCTCGGTGCTATCAGCCTGCTCCAAATTGAAGGATTTAGATGCCGGGAAACAGGTTCATAAGTGTGTCAAGGAGTGCCTGATCGAACCCACTTTAGTTTTGGAAAATGCTTTGGTTGATATGTATGTAGCTTGTGGGGAAATGAATGCTGCACTTAAATTTTTTGAAAATATGAAAACTAAGGATGTAATTTCTTGGACTACAATTGTTAAGGGGTTTGCCAATTCAGGACAAGTTGATTTAGCTCGAAACTACTTTGATCAGATGCCAGAAAGAGACTATATTTCTTGGACTGCAATAATAGATGGGTACCTCCAGGTAAACCGGTTCAAAGAGGCATTGGAACTTTTCTGCCAAATGCAGACTTCATATGTAAAACCAGATGAGTACACTATGGTAAGCATTTTAACAGCCTGTGCACATCTAGGAGCGCTTGAACTAGGAGAATGGATAAAAACCTACATTGACAAAAACAAGATCAAGAATGACACCTTTGTTAGAAATGCTTTAATAGACATGTATTTCAAGTGTGGAAATGCTGAAAAAGCTTTGAGGGTTTTTGATGCGATGCTTCATAGGGACAAATTTACATGGACGGCAGTGATTGTTGGCCTTGCTACAAATGGAAATGGTAGAGAAGCTCTTGGCATGTTCTCTCGGATGTTAGAATCTTTGGTAACTCCAGACCAGATAACTTTCATTGGTGTTCTCTGTGCGTGTACTCACTCTGGCATGGTGGATGAAGGAAGAAAGTTTTTTGCTAGTATGATCACCCAACATGGTATTGAGCCTAATGTTACACATTATGGGTGCATGGTGGATCTTCTTGGCCGAGCAGGGCATCTAATCGAAGCTTTTGAGGTTATACAGAATATGCCAATGAAACCAAATTCAGTTGTGTGGGGAGCTCTTCTTGGCGCTTGTAGAATGCATAAAGATGCAGAACTGGCTGAAATGGCAGCTAAAAAGATGCTCGAGTTGGAGCAGGACAATGGGGCTGTTTACATTCTCTTGTGCAATATATATGCAGCTTGCAATAAATGGGAAAATTTGCGTGAAGTCAGGCAAATGATGATGAATAGGGGAATCAAGAAAACCCCTGGTTGCAGTTTGATAGAGTTGAATGGTGTTGTCCATGAGTTCGTAGCTGGGGATCGGTCACATCCTCAATCCGAAAAAATCTATTCCAAGTTGGATGAAATGATCAAAGACTTGAAATTTGCGGGGTATTCTCCGGATACATCGGAGGTTTTTCTTGATATAGGAGAGGATATAAAGAGAGTGCAGTATGCAGGCAGTGTGAGAAGTTAGCACTTGCCTTTGGACTGATCAGCTCAGGACCTGGTGTGACAATTAGAATCATGAATAATCTTAGAATCTGTGTGGATTGCCACAGCATGGCAAAGTTGGTCTCCAAGGTTTATGATAGAGAGGTGATTGTTAGGGATGGAACTCGGTTTCACCATTTCAGACAAGGCTCGTGTTCATGTAAAGATTATTGGTGACAGTTTAATAAAAGATAAAGAGTATATAACTTGGTGATTTAACTCACTCTCTACCGAATATCTAATGTTCGAATGATTGTAACATTGAGACGTGATAATTTCTCTGGCATTTGCCATCGATAGATTAAGCCTTGCGCATTCCTTTTCTTCAATCTCCATCACTCATGAAGAAAATACAATCATCCCATCATTCTCCCATTAACGAGTCTGATCACTATTTTTAGTATTGATGGAGGTGGAATAAGAGGGATTATCGCTGGTGTTATATTCATTATCCTAGAATATGAGCTTCAGGTAAAAAGATCAAAACCAAAACTCTAATGTTTAGTGCCAATATTAATTATGAGCAATATATAGTACCAAACTTAGTTCACCAAACAATGTTTCATTCGTTAGAATTATGAGTCCAATCTCCATTTTTGTTAGTTGATAACATGTTATAGGAACTTTTAGGATTTAATACAATGGCATGTGTAACACACGGTTCCTATATAAATTTTAGGAACATTTTGTTAGCAAAGCGCTAAAAAGGTATAAATTTAATTTCAATATTTTTTAATAACCAAAATAGTATTTTTACTACAGTAAAAGTAAAATAAAAGATGTAATGGTGATATTTAAACCATGTTTTTCTCAACTCTTAGATTAGATCCAAGGGTAGCTAATCACAACTTCCTTGGATCATAGGGTCGAGGAGAACGAGAATGAATTCTTGAAACGAGAAGTAGTACTTTTATTATATTGACACCCATCCACCCAATCTCTAGTACGTTCCCCTTTAGAGCACTTCATTCCACCCATTTGCCATAGCAAAAGATAAGAGCAAGTAAAGGCGATTATTGTTCACTTAAATAGTATATGCCCTATCATTTTTTTATATTTTATTTTGTGTGTTTTTTCACCCATTGCTATGACAAGCCATGGACAATTACTATTCACATAGAATTAATTTTATTTATATGTATGAGATTAATAAATAAAACTTTTACAAGTATGTACAACTTTTTTTTTGAATTTTTTGGTAATTTTTCAGAATTTTTTTCGATTTTTTTTTTTTCGCAGACTTGAGCGCCTATCCGCTGGAGCTGATTTTGGGAGACCGGGGCCTTTTGCCTGGGTGGGCTGTCCGCTGGAACTGCTCTTACGCCTACCCGTTTATCACCCATCCCACCTCGTGGAATCTATTCGTCCAAAAAAACCCTCTCCGAACCCAATATCTTCCAAGAGACCAAGAATCATGTGCGCTCATCAGCTATAGCACTCTCCCTCATGAGCCCTCGATTGCTCGTCTGCTGTCGGCGGTCAGGTACTGTTGTGTAGCAGCGACGTCATCTATCAGGTAATGTTCTCTCCTCTGGAGCTGAGTCTTTAAATCTTTCCTTCCAGATCGATACCGTACCGCGATTGGGTACGCTTGATCCATATCGAAATTCGTAGAGGGGTGAGCGAATTAGGCAACTGTGGGTGGAATAAAGGAAATAAAAGAATGGGCTTGCATATATAAAAACTATGGGTGGAACCATCTTAAGATTGCAATTTTAATCACATTCTGCACTGATGAATAAATGCACTAACCCTTCTTTGGCTTGCCTTCAATCATTTTCTTGAGAAGTGAGACAGGAACAGAAAAGTATAGAGAGATGAAGTTCAAGGCATTTCTTACAGAGAATGGTGTAAATCTTTTGGAAAAGAGGTTCCTACCAGCACTAGACAAGATGGGAAAGATATGCCATCTCTACCTCAACAGAGACCATGCTATCTTCCTCCACAACCTTCTCAATGGTGATGGAGTTCAGTCTATTGCTCAGTTTCGCAAAGAAGCTCTTTTCGATGACTATCGTATCTCCAGCCAGAATGAGGACCGCATTGCCTTTTCAGTAGACATTTCTCTTCTCCACCGTGCTCTTCGTAGTAGTGTCAGCATCTGTACTGAGTTTGGAAATGGGCCTACCGCCAATCGTCTCCAGATTAAATTGGTTAAGAAGCTGCCTCCAAATTCTACTCAACCAATGCCTTTCCTTACTTTTGAGACCAAGGGTTATAAATCTGCTGTAATTCAGGATGTGCCAATCTCAAAACCTTTGTCCAGAGCTCAGGTTCTTGAACTTCAAACTGCTCTTGATATGGCTCAAGATTTGCCTCAGACTCTGGTTCAGATTCCGGATTTGAATCAGTTGCAGAACTTTGTGGATCGGATGAGGCATGTGGGCGAGTTGCTCAATATTTCCATAAGCAAGTATGGGGATTTACACATTCAGATTTCCACAACATTAATCACACTTGGTGCTGAGTTTCAGAAGCTGTTGGTCTTAGGTGAAAGAGCTGATGCTCCATCTGAAGATGGAAACCTCAGTGCTCAGACTCGGTCAGCAAGGGCTATTTTGAGGGGAGATGCTCAATCTGTGCAAGTGAGTGTGAAGCATTTTGGCAAGAGCCTTCAGTGCCACTTGGCTAAGCCGGATTGCGCTTTCTATGGGATTGCTCCGCAAGGTGCTTGCTTGACAGTGATCTTCCAGTTTTTCATTCCTGGTTCCCATCAAATGGACAAGTCAATCAGTCTACATTGCAGACTTCCTGTACTGGACCAAGGGTCAGGTTGAGGGACTTAGGTGGGTTTGCCATGCATGGTTAAGCTTCAGAACTTTGGGTTAAATAGTCAGTTTGATAAATATCTTGACAAATTGATCCTGATTTTTGGTTTGAGTAGCCGTACATGCTATTGTTGTATTCTGCCAATGACATTTCAGACCAATGACTCATTTTCTTCGTGAATATGCACATCCCTTTACAAGCTGGTTGTGGAAGTTTTGGTCATGACATGATGAAATAGAAGGAAATGTCTACTTGAGTTGTTATGAAAGCAAAAATATAACGTCAAATAGTTGCAAGGATAGATGATTCTTAGCACAGATTGCTGTTATTCTGTATTTACATTTGGGTGATTTGAAGCATCAAGCTATTGTATAATTGAAGCTCCAAGATTTCTTGACCCAAAAAAAATAAAAAGAAGCTCCAAGATTTAGAATGTCTGGTGCCTGCCACATGTTTGACAAAATGAAGAGCCAATATAACTGGTGCCTTTAGTCGTGAGTGTTTGTAATATGCTTGAAGCATCTGATCACAAATGCAACCATGAGAAATATTGAAAAAACGACCTCCTAAAAATTTGCTCTTGAATAAATTTGGTGTGTAGGATTTACTTTAATTTCATATTCAGACCAAAACACAATCTGAATTTTATTAGACTCTCCTTATTGGGGGATGTGATTTGTGTTTTCCATGTCATATTCTTTCGGTTCTATTTAGCTTCTACCAAACAAATAAAATGAGAGAAAAATGACAGAAATTGTACATAAATTTCCAGCTACAAAGAGGTGGTGCCTTAATGTTATGTGTTACACCATTCATTCTGTACATAATTTCTCACTTACAGGGCAGGATCCTCTGTAAGACAAAGCTTATTCAATATCTCATCCAAAGCCCCGAATGCAACCTTGTATCGGTCTTGTGATTTCCTCCCTTCTTCCACAACTTGCACAATGCATTTATACAAATGGTCATACCTGTGAACTGGGTTATTAATGTCAATGCCACTGCAGCTATGATCAAAAATGTAATTGCGTTTAATATCCTTTCTCCATCGCGAAAGGACGTATTGAGTCGGGATCTCCTCCACGCCATTTTGGTTAAGGACTGATAGTGCGTGCCTGCACAAATATCCCCTCAAGTTGAACATGCCACAGATGCAAAGGACCTCCATCTCAGATGGATTATACAAAACCTCATGGTCTCTCACCTCTCTCCTATTTCCATCAACTTCAGTTTGTTCCTTCACTATGTATGTTATGACTGGCCCATCAGGATTTAACTGACTAGTGCTGAAACAAGAGTACATTCCTTCTACCTCCGATTCAAACTTCCTAAGAATGTCATTCGTGTACACTTTGGAGAGTTGCAACTCAAAATAGCATCTTGACTTCAACATATAACTCGAATTTCTTGAATCCAAATCTGCCAAGGCTTCCAGCCGATGATGCGTTTGCAGAGCTTGATCATACTTATCTAAAAATTCCTTTAAAGGAGTATCTTTATGAAGAAATTCTTTGAAGTATGAAGAGACAACCTCACCTGGTTGCACAGGGGACATCCCTGCCAAAAATATATCCTTCAAATATACTGGAACCCACCGCTTCCGATCGTCAAATAATGCTTGAAGCCATTTATGATCCCTAATTCCATGGTGCTGGACCATATCCTCCCAAGCTGCTTCAAATTCCTCCACCCTCAGAGAGTAGTAAACTGCTCTACTAAAAGATTCTTTAATTGCTTCATACTCGAACAATCCTCCCAAATTTTCTGGAATCTTTTGCATTATATGTGATAAGCAAAGACAATGAGAAGCTCTAGGGAAAACATCAGAAATGGCAGTTTGCAATGTTCTGCATTGACTGGTAATGATCGCTTGAGGAGGGCGTCCCAGTATGCATGTAAGCCAAGCTCTAAACAACCATGTATAGGATTCAACTGTCTCACTTGCAAGTAAACCACAGCCTAGCAGCACAGATTGTCCATGATGATTTACTCCAATAAATGACACCAGCGGGACTTCAAACTTGTTTTCCAAACATGTAGTGTCAATGGCAACTATATCACAGAAATAACTGTAAGCAACCCTTGTCCTCGCATCAGCCCAGAACAAATTTCTCAAGCATCCTTTCTCATTTAGATCCACCACATAAAAGAAGTTTGGATCCATTAACTGCAAGCGAGAAAAGTAAATCTGAACTGCTTGGGCATCTCCTTCTTTAAGCTTCAATTGATTGGAGTAGTCAACTCTATTCCCAGATTCTCCTTCATCAACATCTATGCTTCCATTACCCTCAGAATCAATGATGACTGTTCGAAATAGCCTGATCTTTTGCACTTCTTCAGCAGTATCTAACTGCAACGCTCTTTTAGTTCCAACACCTACGCTCTTGTGAGATTTATAAAATTTTCCACTTGCTGGACTAATCAAGTGGTTGTGCTCAAGCTCAACTTCAATAACTCTCCACCTGTTTGAGTCCATTAACCTAAACTTTATCATTGCTGGACAACCGGTTCTAGTTTCTGGCCTTGGGCGATTTGCTTCACTCTTCTTTTTGAAACCTGCGCTACTGCAGCTAAGTTTTCCTCTGTATCTTTCCTTGCTCTTTCTATACCATGTATTGCTTACCCTAACCCCAAATCCCTGTTGCTTGGCATAACAATTGTAGAAGTAATACACATCCTCATAAGAATCAAATTCCATTCCAACAACAGGAGGGAGAGGGTTCTCTCCTTGAATAATGCCAGTTTGACTGATAAAATCTGTCATTGCACAGTCTCCTTCAATCTCAAATTCATCAGCATCATCATCGCCCGCTGGCTCCGTGTTCAGTGAAACTTCATCCATATCTAAACAGACATAAAGCCAGGAAACCAGTTAACAAGGAAGGGAAAAGCCATACAAGAATACGTAACAATAAAGTCGAAAAACCAGGTACACTTAGCATAAATCCTCCACTTTCCAACTCTCAAAGCTAATCTCTCAAACGATTTCCTAATAGAATCAGCTACCTTCATTGAACATTTGAATAAAAATATTCAAAGTTAGTAACAATATACTGATTTCTTTACTATCCAGAGCACTAAACCCTACATATCTGGGGTTTGGTCCTTAAAAACGAGAAACCCAAGAACTAATCTTGAATTCTAAAATCTGCACTGTTATGAATTGGAAAAACAAACATCACTTCAGTTTAAATTTCTGGGTACTGTTCAGTAAACTTTTCCTCACATTGTTTGAAAGTTGAAGCACCAAAAAAGGCAAAAAGGCCAACAGCCCTTTTAAGATTTTCCTCCATTTTCTCAGCAATCAACCCAGGTACAACTTTTTAGTTGTTTTGACAAACATAAGTTAAACTTCACTGAATTTGAAAGTGAAAATCGATCAAACAAAAAGGAACTAACAAAATAACACTCTACCCAGCTAAGTCCACTAGACAACCACACAAATTTGAGTACTAACTTGATATACATACAAATAACATTCAGAATTTTGGCTTCTTTTCTCGAATTCTTCATTTTCTCGGGAAACAAACAACAGATAACAGAGCAGGTGAATGCTTTGGCAAATTGAATTAGAATTCGATGAGTCTTCAGGGTTTACCTGATCGGAGAGTCGCGGGAGAGTTTCCGGAAAATCGGCAAGTACACTCGCTCAGCAAGGAAAGTGGCGCGTGACGTACAAAGTGGCTTAGTCCGATCGAACTGAACTGAAGGTTTTTTTCTTAACTGAACTGAACTTAAGTTTGATATGGGGCTAAAATATCAAAAATGCCCCTATGGTTTCTTTTGCCCTTTCGATAATATCATTGGCCTCCTCCCTGCCGGGTTTGGGCGTTTTGTTCTTGTGCCTAATTTGACTCAGAATTTTGTCTGTAAAGACAAACTAAATTATCACTTGAATTTTTTATGCACCAAAAAAAAAACTTATGACTTGAGTTTTGTCTTCTTTTAAATTCAACCCTCTCCTCCTCTAATATCGCTTATATAAAGAAAAAATACACATATATATATAACTTGAATTATTTAGACGTTCCACACACACATGTTATGCATTTGAATTTGTAGTGGGTAACTTTTTATATTGTATTTTTTTAATACTGAAAGGACAAAATCAACATTTTATATCTTTCGATTTTCTTGATATGTTCTAGTATGTATAAAGTAAGTATAACAATTTGACAACATAACACACCAAATTCACAAAAAAGCGTCACGTTCTATCCTACATAACCCTACTGAGGCAAGAAGCCAGCAAAGAGCTACCCAGTTTTTTTCTTTTTTGGTTTCATTTGGGTTGTAGAAGTTCAATATAAGAACTCAAGCAGCGACCTCTTTTTGGGCCATGAAGCGTTTTCATTTTGTGAGATACTTTCTTTGTCTACTTATATTTTTCACACTCATTCTCTCAACTTTATTGAGAGAGGCCTCTAATAAAATCCAATTTCTCTCCCCAAAATATAAAGAGTCTGGTTTGATGGTAAACAGGCACAGCAGGCAGCTGGAGATCTTGGCTAGCCAAAAGTAAAAACAAAGACTGGTTCATATCTGTCGTGCAAAATTGCTTGGACAATCACAGATAAAGATGAGGAAAAATACATACAAGCTGACCTTCTCATGCTCCCTACTTATATATGGTATTGGCATTCTTCACAGATAACAGGTTGAAGCTATCCTTTCCGCCATCGGATGAGAGAGAGAGAGAGAGAGAGAGAGAGAGAGAGAGAGAGAGAGAGAGAGAGAGAGAGAGAGAGAGAGAGAGAGAGAGAGGAGGAAAAGGTATATAAAACTAAATTCATAATTACAAAAGATGTCGCACCTTAACATTACAACTCATTCGTGTTTGTCCTCTACATCATGAACCCTATTCAATGACTCTTCAAATGCTTGCAATGCTACCTTGTAATGGTCAGGAGAAATCACACCTTCCTCTACAATTTGCAAGGCACTTCTATATAACTGATTGAACCATTGCATGCGGTCGGTGTCATCAGCATTACCGGAGCTGTGATCTGGAATATATATACGCTTGAAATCCTTTTTCCATCGCGACAAAATGTACTTGGAAGGGATCTCCTCCACTCCATTAAAATTAAGCACACACAATGCATGTCGACATAAATACCCGTAGAAGTTAAAGCAACTGCAAATGCAACGAACCTCACCTGCTGTTCTGTTGTACAGAACTTCATAATCTCTAATCTCTCGCCTATTTCCCTCAACCACAACACGCTCCTTGACCAAGAATATGATGATTGGCCCGTCAATGTGTAACTGTGTAGTGCTAAAACAAGAATACATTTCCTCCACTTCAAATTGAAACTTCTTGAAAATTTCCCTGGTGTAAACTTTTGAAAGCTGGAACTCAAAGGAACATCTTGTTTTTAAAATGGGACTCGAGCTTCGTGACTCAATATCCGCAAGAGCTTCTTCCTTATGCTTCTTTTGCAGAGCCAATTCATACTTATCAAGAAATTCTTTCAGTGGAGTTTGTTTGTGCACATATCTGTCAAAAAATGGACTTAAGGTTTCACCTGGACGTGCAGCCGACATTCCAGCAAAAAATGTCTCTTTCAAATAAACTGGAGCCCACCGAAATCGGTCTTCATATAAAGAACGAAGCCACTCATGATCACCAACCCCAAAACGCTGAATCATGAATCCCCATGCTGCTTCAAATTCAATCACCTTCAGAGTTTCATAAACTGCTTTAATCAATGCCTTCCTAATGGCATCATAGTTGCGCAATCCTCCTAATTTTTCTGGAACTTTTTTAATGATGTGTGACAAACCAAAACGATGATGACATCTTGGAAATACCTCTGCAATTGCACTCTGTAAGGCCTTGCACCTGTCAGTAATAATTGTTTGTGGAAAATGTCCTGATACACATGTAAGCCAAGCTCTGAACAACCAAGTATAAGATTCTGTCGTCTCCCCAGCAAGCAGGGCACAACCAAGCAATACTGTCTGCCCATGGTGATTTATCCCTACAAATGCCACAAGTGGGATCTCATATTTATTTGACAAATATGTGTTGTCAAAGTATATCACATCAGCAAAATAACCACAGGCTGCCCTACACCGAGCATCCATCCAGAACACATTCCTTAACCGCCCATCATCATTGAGGTCCATCAAGTAAAAGAAGTTCGGATTAGTCAACTGCATTCGGCAAAGATAGTTATAGATTGCTTGTGTGTCACCTTTCTTAAGGTTCAACTGATTGGGATGGTCAGGAAAATTCCTGATATCTGTTGGATTAGAATTTGAGGTCCCATCGCCCCCTGAATCTATCACAAGTGCTCGGTACAACTTAATTGTTCGTTTTTCTGCATCTGAACTTGACTGTGACTTCCTTTTCATTCCACTTCCCACCTTCTTAATTGATTTGTAGATCTTAGCACCTAACAAATGGTTATGTTCAAGTGTAACTTCAAGTACCCTCCACCTCTTGGAGTCCACTAACCTCATCCTTAACATTGCAGGACAGCCAGTTCTTGTTTCTTTTCTTAAACGGTTTACATCCTTAATTCTTTTGAAACCCTGGCTGCTGCAACAAAGTACTGCACCGTACTTCTCTCTACTGTTCCTCTTAAACCATGAATTCTTCACTCTAACACGAAATCCCACTTCCTTAGCATAGCAGTTGTAATAATTATAAGCATCATCATAAGACTCAAATTCCATTCCAACAGCGGGGGCAACAAATTCCTTTCTTCCTTCAAGGACACCATTTTGAACATCTAATTCTGTCAGGACACCATCTCTATCAGTTACAATCTCATTGCACTCACCATCTGGTACTAGCTCAATGTTAGCAGAGGCTACTTCCATCCGAAAGACAAGTGATAAATTCAGAAACCAATCTACACAAAAAGGAAAAAACAAAGAATCTAATATATATTATTCGGCTAACACTAAATACCATCCAATCTATTGTCCAAGACTCCAAACACAACTTCTAATAAAAACAACGCTAGATCAAACAAATAAGTACTCACTTTAACCATCAGAAACATAGTTGCCTAATTCGCTCACCCCCTACGGATTTCGATCTGGATTGAGCGTACCCAATCGCTGTACGGTGTCGATCTGGAACGAAGGATTTAACTACTCAGCTCCAGAGGAGAGAACAGTACCTGATAGACGACGTCGCTGCTACACAACAGTACCTCACCGCCGACGGCAGACGAGCAATCGAGGGCACATGAGGGAGAGTGCTATAGCTGATGAGCCCACATTTGATTCTTGGCCTCTTGGAAGATATTAGGTTCGGAGAGCATTTTTTGGGACGAATAGATTCCAAGAGGTGGGATGGGTGATAAATGAACAGGCCTATCTACCTCCTAAAATAAGAAGTCAATTTAGGGGCCTTAAATTTGAGGAGAGAGAAAGGACTCCTAGTGGTGACCCCTTATAATTTAATGCTGCTTTATTTAATGAATATTTCAAACTTTTATTTAATGCTAACTATTTTTTATTTTATTTTATAATAGAGATGGACCAATCAAAAAAGAGTTATAGCATTTATGACTCTCCAAATTATGGAATATGATTGGAGTTGAAATTTTTTAGAGAGCTCCTAAAATAGTTTTATTATATTCTTAGCCAAATTTTAGTTAAGAAATAAAGAGCATCATTGTGGATGCTCTAAGAGCAGTTCCAGCAGACAGCCCAGCCCAGGCAAAAGGCCCTCGGTCTCCCAAAGTCAGCTCCAACTGTGACATCCAGCCCGGGCAAGGGCCCAAGGCAAGATAGGCTCTGAAGTCTGCGAAGAAATTATTTTTGAAAAATTACCAAAAAATTCAAAAACAAATTTGTGCATACTTAGTAAATTTTTATTTATTAATCTTATACATATAAATAAAATTAATCTCATGTGAATAGTAATTGGAGTTGTCATGGAAATGGGTAAAAAAACACACACAAAATTGTTAAGGCATATACTATTCAAGTGAACAATAACCGCCCTTATTTACCTTAATCCCCATGTAAAATGGGTGAAAGTGCTCTAAGGGCGAACGTACTAGAGATTGGGTGGGTGGGTGTGTTAATATAATAAAATTAATGCTTCTAGTTTCAAGAATTCAGTCTCGTTCTCCTGGGCCAGTTTTGTATTGTTGTGCTGTAAAAATAATCGTTGTCAGATTTGCTGCGAGAGAAATCAGCTGTATGATAAAGCAATTTGGCGTTTGGTAAAATTTTTGTTAAAAGTGTTGTTAGTATTGATTTTACGCATAATTAGAAAATGATTGCCGCATAATCATTAAACCCAACGCCTCTTTGAAACTGATTCATGTATAATCAGAAAATGAAAGCATATCATTAGCTGTTTTCCCTTATAGCTTTCTCTCACATCAATTTTTAACAATAAATGATTTTCTCACAGTTTACCAAACTGGTTGGGTTTCTCAAAATTTTTAAAAAATCACTTATCATCTCAAATAAGCAATGCCAAACTAGCACTAAGAACTGAGGGAAAAAAAAGGTTTAAATATCAATATGTCATATCTTATTTTACTTTTACTGCAGTAAAATACTATTTTGGTTATTAAAACTATTTTTTAAAAGAAGAGTTTAATATAAGAGATGAAAAACATGAACAAAAAACTCATCTACTCGATTGGTTGTTGCCATGATTATTCGAATGACATAGTTGTTGGATAACTAGAAACCTTGTTTTCCCGTCAAAGGTTCTGCATTTTCTTAAAGGTTAGATGTAATGGTGGGTTTGAGGGCGACGCTTTTGGTGGCAGTAGTGTTCATTTAGGCCATGTGTTGTTTTATGGTTTTGTTATTTTGGGTTTTGTCAGCTTTATTTTAGATTATACTCAATTGTAGTGATGTGGGCTAGTAGTTGTTAATGTGTCTGGTTTAGTTCCGACAGAATGATAGTTGTTGAAGTGCTAGGCTAATAGGTGGTAAATGTTCTCCTAGTTATGCTTCAAATTTGGCAGTCATGCTCCAACTAGACATTTTTGGTGAGGAGGTTGTCGTAGTTCTCCGTCATTTTGGCAACATTGGCACGAAGTCACTCCACTTCTGCTTGAAGATGCGCATCGATTGAAAGTTTCCTACAGAAGAATTCCATGATGAGAATCTCAAATTACATCTTTTTAATATTATTTTGGAGACTTTATGATATAATTTTGGCTTAATAAATATAATTTCACTTGTTGTTACATTTTATTCTCACCAACTAGATTTATGAAATTTATATATTAATTTGGTGAACTTATTAGGTGAATTTATCTTCTGTAGGAAGTTGGAAAGCCAAAAGATGAAGACATACATTTGTCCAAGTTCAAGCTAGGTGTGAAGAGAATTGTTGGCAGATTTTATTGAAGAATTGATTATGGGATTATTGTGATTATAAAGAGAAATAAAGAGGGAGAAGAAAAGACAAAACCGTTGAAGCTAAAGAGCCTATTTCATGTCATTCATAGCCATTTAACGCTCACTTACCTCCCCGTTATTTCTTTTCCACTAACTCTCCACCATCAACACATGTTTAATTCCACCATCAACAAGTTTAATCCAATTAATCGCTCAATTAAACCCTTCATCACCCACCATGAATGTATTAACTTCCCACTCGCCTCATTGACTACTATAAATCACCCATCAACTTATTTGGCAAGGGCACCACTACGACAGATTTATTTATCCATTTCATTCAAAATTTAGTTTATGTTTTCCTTTATAATGAGTTGCTAAAACTCTAGCTAAGGCTAAAGGGAATGTTCTTTGAGTAAGTTTGTGAATTGTTCTTTAATCCAATATACGGTATGAATTGCTAAATTCTTTTATTTTTTGTTGTTCAATATTTTCATATCTTTTTATTTTGATTGATGTTAAGTGTTATTATCTTTTCATGAGTTGAATTATATTTTTCTCATTGTTAAGAACTGACTTAGCATGCTTTTAAATTAAAAGAGTAGATATTAAGCAATTCCATTTTCTAAACAATCATTAATAAAAGATAACATTGCAAAATTAAATTGGTTTTAATTTCTTTATCTTCCGGTTAAAGTTTCTCAATGATGATTTTAATCGAGTTATAATTTGGATTAAAGAACATGAAACATATTTTGTTTAAAGAATTGAACCTTGATGCCTTAGCATTTCCATTATTGATATTTCATTTTTAAACTCAATTTTCCACAACAATCAAATCAAATTACTTTTCCATTTTGCTTGTCACTTTTATTGTGGTACGTTTAATTATTTCTTTTGCGTGTGACTACTTGCACTTGGGTAGACGCAACATTCCACATAAGGGATTTGATGCTGAGTGCCAAGGCTAGCGTCGCTCGGCATGACGGAGTATGATGGACTGAAGAGGCGAAAAGGTCTGATAGGCGAATTAGCCAGTGGGGCTAGTAGAGATGTGAGATTTGAAAGTCGATTCCCACAGACAGCGCCAAATTGTTGATGTCCAAAATTGAATTCAATTT